TGAACAACTGGTCGTACAGTGCTATTGTTGAACAACTACGCACTGTACAACCAGTTGTTCGCTCACTTAATAAAAAATAAACATCCTATGAAGAGTTGTATATTAACTGGAAACTATTCTAAACCAATGCTGCATATTTAATATAACCAATTCTCTTGCTACTCTGTACCTCTTCGAGCTTCTAGAATAAAACAGTTACAATAAAAATGACGGTTGTCAAATCACAAGTTGAGAACTCTGAAGGTGGCAACGTTCGAAACCTTTCCGACTGGTTGAAAAATTACTTTCAAGCGTTACTAGAAGAAATATGAGAAGTTTTTAGTATTTTCGTTGTAATTAACTTGAAGATCTATTCCAGCAATTGATACTTTTCTAACGTGATAAATTGATAATTTTAGCGAAACAGCGGCTAGCTGCTATTATACTATTACAGTTTTTAAAATATTTGGTATGTTTAAAACATAAAACTCTACTTCAACAAGTCATTCTTCCAACTTCAGACTTTAAAATACTTTTACTATATCGGCTTCTATGTTTTAACACTATGTTGTCTATTTTTGTTCACGATGTACACACCGCATAACAGTTCTGGATACAAGTATATACTTATAGAATAATAGAAACATTCTTTATAGAAATCATATCGTTGATAACGCTTTTAATAGGTTTTTTTTTATTATTGTAGATTTAACAGGCCACTTTAAGAAAACGCAGCTACATGTTATGTGGATGTATACTGTTTCTTATAGCTTTGATGTATGAACTAGTAAAATCACGTATTTATGCATTTACTTTTTAGGATCTGTGAAGTTCATCAAAGTGAGGCTTCCACACATAATTTACAGGGGTGGTGGGCTAGGCAGAGGAGTAGCCTGGAGTACCCCTCACCCTTTGGGAAGCAATCACAAACATCTATCACTATGGGTCAGACATTTGGGGATAAAGCCGAAAAACCCGATTCGGTAATCATTTCCCAGAAGAGGTTTCAGAACGCCGACGCCCTCGGGACCGCTTCGTATGACTACCACTACTTCAGGCGGCTCTGTCGGGAGCAAGGACACCTGTTCGAAGATTTTGACTTTCCTCCAACCAACAGAATTCTTTTCGGCAAGAATAAAGCCTCGTCCACTCAGATAACATGGATGAGGCCTTATGTGAGTGCTGAGTAGAAAAGAACTGTTTTAATTTTTATAACTGGTACGAAACGAGTGCGTCTGTTTCCAGACCGTAATCGATGGATAATTACAACCTGTCCACTGACTCTAGAAAACGTTAAAATTCAGACAAGTTAGAAACTTGAAGTATAATGCTACATCATAAATAAATGTGTTAAAATATGTTAAATAGCTTCTATCATTTATTAGAAGTAAATTATTACTCTGAACTGTTAGCTTTTATAAAGGAGAAAATATAAAACTAACTCTCGAAGGAAGAAAAATAAAATGCTGATAACAGAAATAAATGAGCGAATTCTGTAAAAACAATGTTTCGTGGTAACTAAAAGTACAGTCTTTTGCCGACTGTTGGGCCTTAAAATTCAGCTATGTATTAAACACTCGTAATGTTAAACCTAAGTTTTAACCAAATTTTCTTGAGTTTGTTGTTAAAGAAATGATTTTACTAGCATGCTGTACTAAAACATTATTAGAATTCATTTTTAAATAGTTGTAATACTTGTTCACTGTTTAGACTTCTCATTTCATTTTAGACTTCATATTTCTCTTTTCCTAGACAAAACTCAGACCTAAACGAAGCGTTCAGAGAATTCATTTCTTTCCACGTCCCTTATATTTCTGTTTTCAGCGAAGATAGATTCAAAAACAATGAACTTTACTGTTTGAACTTTGTTATTCATTGACCAAAATTCTCTACTCGATACCCTCTCATTCTCTTAATTCCAAGATTCAACAAAGCAACTGAATACATTCTAAAATATATAGTAAGACCATTACTAAAACATTTAAAAGCATGAAAAATAAAGATTTGTCCAACTATGAAATGGTATATGATGCCTAAAATTATTAATGTTTACGTATAAGGAGTATCTATTCTGTACTAGCCAAAACTTTAACGTTGCATTTATTGGTATTATGCTGATTAGATCACAGCAAATTATAGTATTAACTATGAAATGTGACTGTACTCTGGTACTGCTTATTTTGATACAATAGAAAGGGATCAACCCCGCAATATTTGCATTTTATACTAATTCATTCACTGCTTGCATAATCATTTCCATTACTAAATATGTATGTCATCGTGTGTGACTGTCTTTGTGTAAGTTTTTATATATAAATACTGTATATTTTCTGACGAATACTGTTTTATTCTCCAGGCTTTTGTTCTTTTCCTCTTACAAGCGATGTGTTAAGCAAAGAATAATAAAAATGTCGTATCTCTTTTGAACTAACGAAACGTTTAGAATGTTTACTCCTTTCAATATTTGAGACCAATTACTTCGTGTGAAATAACTTAGAATAATCTTGGGTCAATTTTCTAATGGTAAATTTGAATACACTCAAAGTATGTTTTTGCTAAAATAAACATTTTTGTTGAACTTTTAGGAAATCTGTACAAGGCCTAAGTTTGTGTCTGATGGTGACTCACGATGTGATATTGAACAAGGAGATTTTGGTAATTAATATGTTTTATCTTGATGTTCTATAATAAACTCCGTTCAGAACACCGTATTATTTTACGTATTTTAACATCCCCGGATATAACTCAATGCCCACACTTTCTTTACCAAGTAACAGAGAAACTAACGTGCCTAAAGACCTGTGTATCCCCATCTTTAAACTTGCCAAACTCATATCTATTTGTCTGTAATATAACACTTTAATACTAACTCCACTGAACAACATAAAAGTTTAGAGAGTCTCTTAACGAGTTTACACAGTTATTAATTTCTCTCTATCTGTGTGCATCGAAATATATACACGCTGTAATTTCTATTGTTTCATTACACCATGAGTTGACCCAGAGTAAATCAAACCAGTGTTATAACTTGTTAGTTGTTTTAGAGATAATCATCATCATTTATTTGAGAAATCTTCATTACAGTGTCATTTATGTTATCAACAAACATTACAAAGTGTGTATTGAAAAGGTTGAAAGAATTTAATATTTATATATATCCTTAACAGTTAGTTTTATTGTTTGTTTTCGTAAACTTTGAGAGGTTTATGTTTTTTTTATTCATGATTTGTTTGTTTCAGGCGACAGCTGTCTACTTGCAGCCATATCTTGTCTCACGTTGACTCCCAAGTTCCTTGACCGAGTAGTACCCTCGGATCAAAGCTTCGGACAAGGATACTGCGGCATCTTCCGCTTCCGATTTTGGAAGTTTGGAGAATGGGTAGAAATAATAGTAGACGATCGACTTCCAACCTACAGAGGGCGCCTTAACTATTTGCATTCGGCTGATCCTACGGAGTTTTGGATAGCTTTGCTAGAAAAAGCGTATGCAAAGTAAGAGTAGTACACTTGTTTAGTTTGTCAAAAAATCAAGGGTGCATTCAAGTTGGTTTTAAAAACAAGTAAATAATGTTAGTTTGATTTAACAAAGAAGTAGCACTACATTTAAATGCTTGTGGCCGTCATATGTCAATCATTGTCTTCGTTAGAAGCCTATATTTTAACAGAAGTTCAATTAGTAGTTTGTTTTATTACTATATACTAATTAGTTCCCATTCTGTGTTTCAAATGACAACCTGCTACTATCTTCCCGAACGTCCTGTGAAGTACTACGTGTTACAGATGGAGCGAGCTTCGTTTTTGGGTCTTCTTATTAGCAAAGATAAGGGTGTTCTCCTCTCGTTCGAATGTATATGTATTGTTGGATGTTGTATTTTTAAGAGGCTTCTGAATTCTTGGATTTTGTCTGTAGTGTGTGGCTTTATTACGGATGTATGATGAACATATCTAGTCCAAAGCCTAGCTAGATCTTCGAGCAGCTGTTTTAAGAGCGTTATTTTCGAAATGTTCCATGTAAAGGTTAGGAATGTCTGGTAATAGGGGTGAGTCCAGAATTCATGAACCACCTGAACAGACAATATTCATCGATTCAATTCACAATAGAAGAACAACTTCCCATTCCTAAAAGTAACAGTTTCCAAGGTATATATTTCATATGCTACAGGTGTTTACAGGAAGCCCACAGATACGGATAGATACTTCGACTATAAATCAAACTACCATAACTGTGTAACTACAAGCTTCATAGACTAGCTAGCCTCGAGACTGGAGAAGATTTATAATACAGAATATGTCAAGAAGAAGAGATAATAACACATTACTACAACCTTCCTTGAAAATGGTCACCCTTAACATTTGAAAAAGAAGAAAATAGAGTAGATATACACCAAGAATAAGCTGGAAGAAAATAGAGTAGATATACACCAAGAATAAGCTGGAAGAAAATAGAGTAGATATACACCTATAATAATCTGGAAGAAAATAGAGTAGATATACACCAAGAATAAGCTGGAAGAAAATAGAGTAGATATACACCAAGAATAAGCTGGAAGAAAATAGAGTAGATATACACCAAGAATAAGCTGGAAGAAAATAGAGTAGATATACACCAAGAATAAGCTGGAAGAAAAATACAGCCATTTTACTCTATGCTAGAGGTCTCTTTGAAAGACCCCCCAGTGTTACAGCGGTATGGCTGCGGAGTTACAACGCTAAAAACCTGGTTTCGATACCCGTGGTGTAGCTTTATGCTTAACTACAAACAAACAAACTCCCTAACTCTCTGAAAATATATACAAAGGCTATGCATCGAACGAGACAATGCAGTGTGATCGACGTTAATACCGAACGGAGAGCATAAAAAATGTCATTTTCAACATTTATTGTGAAATACACATCCAATACATATAAATAAATACACCAACAAAAGCCAGAATTCAGGAGCATGATAGATATGCAACACTCTATAATTGCAACTTCTATGCAACTTTTGTCTTCATGTTTTCCATATTCTATTTCATCCCAAATTACTACTCATCCTACCCAATTTTTTCTTCATTATTTGTACGTTCCGTTTCTTTTCTTTCTTTCTTTCTTACTGTACAGTCTTCTTCCTGTGAGTATATCTGAGTTTTAAAAAAAAAAGCAAAAAGAGCAAAAATTTTCAAAATGGTTCTCATTATTTTCATTTCTCAAGGAGTTTCTACACAAATTACTGGTTCACATAATATGATAATAAGACATACATGAGGAAATATATCACTTTAATTAGAATTGTTATGTTTTGAACAGTAAAACGACCAGTATAATCAAAAGTAAAGGTATCTCACCCAACCGAAACATAAAATAATGGCTGTTCGTATTCAAACAGGAAGTTCTCGTTCTAAATCTTCTAGTTATGATGTTTACGTTTAGGTTCTACGGAAGCTACGAACGCTTACAGAGGGGTCAGACAGGAAGAGTATTGCAAGATCTCACTGGAGGAATTGCTCAAAGTTTCCAGCTGGCCGAACACAACCAACACGTCGTCTACCAGATGGTCAACAGTGCTGTTCCGCGCTCAACAATGTTAGCTGTGTCTATTCAAACAGTATGTGTGTTTGTGAGTTTACAAGATAGAACATCTGCCATCTTTTATTGTTTCATAAGACAATAATTAGTATAATTTAGAACATTCTGCCATCTTTTTTTTTGCTTCATAAGACAATAATTAGTATAATTTACAATCTGTTTTCTTTCCCTATTTCTACATAGACTAATTTTTACCAAGTGCACATTTTAATTTAGCGTAGCAAAAAACAAACAAAAAGGGTTTCAATAAGATGAATAGCGATGTTTACATTACATCAGTAATATCTTTATGTATTTACTGTGCAACATTTCTGTATATTGCATGATGCTTACAAATATTTGGCGGATTGAAGCACTGAAGCATCCACCTGACACACACCGTGGGTCAGCTGTAAGTCTGAAGTCTTATAACGCTAAAGTCCGGGTTTCGATACTCGTGATGGGCACAGTACAGATAGCGATTGTGTAACTCTGTGCTTAACTAAAAATAAACAAACAAACAAAATTAAGCACTGAAACTACTGAACTTTTTGATTTTTTATCTTTAAGGGGAAATACATTAGATGTACTAAGTATAATATACCTTGTGTTTTGTCCCTCCTGCTTTCTAGTATCTTAGCGGTAAGTTTGCAGGCTTACGATTCTATAAATCAAGTTTCGATACCTGTGGTAAGCAGAACGTAGATAGCTTATTGTGTAGTTTTACACTTAACAACAACCAACCAATTTTGCCTTCCTCTTCCAGCGGCTCGGCGGTAAATCTGCGTGCTTACAACACTAAAACTCGGGTTTCTATACCCATTGTGGGGCGGAGCAAAGACAACCCATTGTGTAGCTTTGTGCTAAACGAACCAACAAACCTCATATTTTGATCTTTAAATGATTTTGCTCTTAGTTGCTAAAAACATGTTCGAAAACTCATTGTAATATTTAATTTCATGAACACAAATGCCGAATAAAGAAGACTAGTTAAGAACAGTGACAATACATCCTACTAATATCTGAACACTATTGCTAAAAACATGTTCGAAAACTCATTGTAATATTTAATTTCATGAACACAAATGCCGAATAAAGAAGACTAGTTAAGAACAGTGACAATACATCCTACTAATATCTGAACACTATTGCTAAAAACAATGTTCGTTATCAAGGTATTCTAATGGTAAATTTAGAAGATCAAACAATGTATATTGTAATGATTTAAACTACGGGAAAATTGTTATTATAATTATACATTTTGTTACTTCTGCATAAATTTGATGGATACAAGCTTTTAATGGCTTTCATTTTTAATGGCTTGATAAAATGCTTGGAAATAAATGAATAAATGTGATGAGTAAATATCATAAACTAAACTCTTATATAACTTGATGTATTAATATATCTTTATTAGTACAATTTTTCAAACTTTTAGTACGAGGTTCTGTAGTTAGATGAAAGTTTTATTAGAATGTGCTCAACCTTGAACCAGACTCCTTGGAAGCTCCTATCCAGGATTTGTCCATCCTTCACACGTGATCTGCTTCTTGAATAAGTTATGTAGAAGGTTTCAGCGGATTGTCTAGTATCTTGATCACATGTAAATTTTGAGATGCTGTAAAATGTTTTTTTTTTCTTTCCTATTAATTGGCTTTGCATGATGACGTGGATTACACAAAATTCTAGGATGTTATAGTGAAGCTTAGGATTAAATATAGTTCTAAGTAAACTTGTTCTCATTCAAAATTCTTCCGGTGTTGAGCAGATTTTCGTGTTGCCTTCGTTTAATGAAGTTGTCTTCTTCTCGTTGTACATTAATTTAAAGTTCCAGCGATAGCCATTTGATTTGTGTGAGGCTTATTTCAACCAGTTATGAAAGGGAACTGAGGATTAAATAGATTTTGATAATAAGCACAAATAATCCTGAACTAAATCGAATGGCTTCAATTAAACTACTGCTGGAACTTTAAATTAGTGTGGGAGTACTACACTGAACTCTAACTCTTAATCTTCTTATTTTACTGAATGAGTAAAGATTACAAAAAGTACTTGTTAGTACTGCACTTCAGTCTAGAAGTTCATGGGCTGCATTCTTTTCAACGTATATTAAAGAGCTTTGTTAATTTCACATTTTGTGTTTTTTAATTGTAGTTACTTATAATACCACTAAATAACGTGCTTATTGGTTTTAAATGTGCATAGAATATCACAGAGTTTTTACGATCAATTTCGATGCTGCGATCAGAGGCGTTTTAAACATTTCAAACTACTCGGTGCAATTTTCTTGGGAGGTCCATCTGTACTGATCAGCTACAGGTATTGAAATTTATAAGTTTATCTATTTATTTATTTTTCATTGCTTTGGGGACCCGCAATATGAGGAGCCCGTCGGTGAGTTGCTCCGATTACACCGACGTTAAATAAGCCACTGATTGCAATCCAGATTTATTTTTGTAGAGTAGTTTGATCGGATTTTTCTGTGCTGCTTTGAACTCTTGTCAATTCTAAGTTTGAACTGTGTTCATATGGAAATCTCATTTACAAAATGAAGAAAGGATTGTGGTTTATAGGATGAGATGGTTGCTAGACTGCAGCCATGTTCCTGTCCTGGAAGTGATATTCTCAACTGCATCCAAGAAGTTTTTATTTAAAACAAGCAGATGAACTGCATTCTGAGGCATCCCAAGCTGCTGACTAGTCTCTTTCTACTGATTTTATCCATGGTGATGTAAGGCCTGATCATTTTACATCGTAGTATGAAGGTCGCTCGCTATAGGGCATCCAGAATATGAACAATCAATGTTTTCAATCCCATTCACTGGTTGGAGTTGCCAGTGACCAGGAAAATGTTTGAAATTTCATTGGAGGATGGCATCAACAAACCAGAGTTACCTCAGCAATAGGTTGGGTAGCATACAATTTGGAAAAGACCGTATTAAACACATAGCTTAATTGCAATGTCAATTCATTCCAGCAGGAAAGAGAGTATGGGTAAAATTTAAAGCCCAAAAGTATGAGTTTCAAAAGAGTTTGGACACATATACAGTTGCCTGGATACATATTGTACAGACATAGTGGTAATATTTTGCTTTTTAAACCTAAGACATGAGCAGCACTGAACACTGAAACCTTAGTTACTAGTCGACCAAGGAGTTGAAAGCGGACTTTTGCCTTCACTGTCGCGATCTAATAGTGATGAAAACAAGTAGATCAGCCAGTCAACCTTTAGACTTTTTATTTAGATATTAAGAGGTTTTATTATTGGATTTCGGTGTCAAAGGGTATGTTCATATGAATATATTATTGTACTATTTTATTTATTTTGACTTTTAGATATAACGAAATATATCTATGCCACATGCCATCCTCTGGTATCATCTAGCTAGTAAATGTTGTTTATAATTTATATTTTAATTGGTTCAACATTAAGGATAGATAGATGAACGCAACTTTCTTCATATAATTTATTTTAGTTTACATGACTAAAATTAGTTACATGTTCTAGACGAATCGGATGTGCCCCATTTTCTCTCCTACACTTGGAGACTGAAGCCCAAAACTTTTGTAGCCATCATATCTGACGTGTTTGCTGTATAATTTGTTGAATGAGTGTTAAGCTTTCCGCCATATTGGTTATATGGGATGACACAAAAGATGGAATCTCTGGTTTCCTTTTTCTGTTAAGAGAACTTCTCTATTGATATGAATGACACAACATTCTGGGAAGTTCTGGTTGAGTTAAAGATTGAATATTGTTCCGAGCAAAGCTAGTTTTCACAAAGAATTCTCCTGGTGTTAAGAATGTTTTTGCCTTGTCTTTGTTTAATGAAGCTATTCGCTTATCCATGCCCAGCATACTTTTAAAAACTATACACACGTGCGTATAATGCGCATGCCTAGCTACACCTTCGCCCAATAACCACAAATATAACGAGCTGGTCATACAAAGAAAAGTACTTGTTGATATTGCCTTTTATTCTAGAAATCATCATATTGTACAACTTGATTCAATATTGAATCAATTGAACTTGAATAAAGCATTTTGTTTTCAAAACATTTTTTGTTATTCTCTTTCAGTTGTGGTCAGATTTAATTACTACTATGCTAAGTTTGTTTGTAGTTAAGCATAAAGCTACACGATGGGCTATCTGTGCTCTGCCCACCACTGGTATCGGAACCCGGTTTCTAGCGGTATAAGTCCGCAGACATATCGCTGTGCCACTGGAGGGGGGGGGGCACTATGCTAAGCAAATCTTACTAAACTTTCCGTTATTGATTGGTAGCTTAGCAGCATACCGAGATAGAATACCGTATAAATCACGTTATAAGAAAGTGACTCATCGACAATCTGTACATTTAATTGATGTTTTTGGCGCCATCTCTGAATAATAATGTGAAATGAAATATGTTAATATCGTCGCTAAGAGACTTTAGTTATAATCGATTGTGACACAAAATACGTTTTTATATTGATCCAAACATGTTATTTTTTCTTTAGAATAACAACATTTCAGGCTACTTGGTTATTTCATAAATTATTTTATATTAATATGTAACCCCATTAAAAAAATGTTTCTTATATAAGTAGGATTTTTTCTTTTTAGTGACTTATGTTCAGGTTCTTATTGCAGGTAAGTTATAGCAGCCAACACTTACTAAAGGCATGCGTGCGCTTAAATTTAGAAGTCGTCTTTGACATTTTTGTTTAGTTGTTATTAAGCACAAAGCTTTACAGCATGCGCTATTCCTACTGCATGGATCGAGCCCTGAATTTTAGCAATAATTCTACCATATTGTTACAAGATTCTCTCAAAACTAATAATGAAAATAAAACATCTGCGTTCTTCATATTTATCAGTGCGTATATTTCAGTAAAGCTATTATATAGAATTTTGTTGTAGCCTAGAATGAATATATGTACTTGTTTTTCAAAACAATGTATGCATGAATTTTTACCTCTTGTATCTGGTGTTGAATAGGTGTATTAAAAATACAATATATTTAAAAAAGTATGTTTCAACCTTACAATAATTTATTTATGTATGCAAATTGTACACTTGAAAAGCACTGCTTAATTAAATAACACCAAACTACAAACATAAACGTATTTACTTTTTACTTTAGGCACTGGAGCTTTAGAGTTGTAGGATACAGCCTCTCACGTGTGTGTAGCACGCCAAGGCATAGAATGTTACGCACTTGTAGCAAGTTATGGCGCAGCATCTCACGTGTGTGTAGCACGCTAAGGCACAGAATATTACGCACTTGTAGCAGGTTATAGAGCAGCATCTCGCGTGTGTGTAGCACGCCAAAGCACAGAATGTTACGCACTTGTAGCAGGGTATGGCGCAGCGTGCCACGCGTGTGTAGCACGCCAAGACACAGAATGTTGCATACTTGTAGCAGGTTATGGCGCAGCGTGTCACGCGTGTGTAGCACGCCAAGGGATAGAATGTTACGCACTTGTAGCAGGTTATGGCGCAGCATCTCACGTGTGTGTAGCACGCTAAGGCACAGAATATTACGCACTTATAGCAGGTTATGGCGCAGCATCTCACGTGTGTGTATCACGCAAAGACACAGAATGTTACGCACTTGTAGCAGGTTACGACGCAGCATCTCACGTGTGTGTATCACGCTAAGGCACAGAATATTGCGCACTTGTAGCAGGTTACGACGCAGCATCTCATGTGTGTGTAGCACGCTAAGGCACAGAATATTACGCACTTGTAGCAGGTTACGACGCAGCATCTCACGTGTGTGTATCACGCAAAGACACAGAATGTTACGAACTTGTAGCAGGTTACGACGCAGCATCTCATGTGTGTGTAGCACGCTAAGGCACAGAATATTGCGCACTTGTAGCAGGTTACGACGCAGCATCTCATGTGTGTGTAGCATGCCAAGGCACAGAATGTTACGCACTTGTCGCAAGTTATGGCGCAGCGTGTATGACACGTCAGGGAGGATCATGTTAAGCGTGTGTAGCAGGACAGGGCACATTATGTCACACATGTATTGCTCATCTCGGTGCAGCAAGTTACGTGTGTGTAGAGCATGTCACGCGTGTATTGCACGTCAGGACGAGGTATTTCATCATAAATATAGTACATAAGGTAAACAGATGACGGACTTTCAGAATAATAATCAGAAAGATGATGTATCAAATCACTAAACGGTAATCGTATATGCACTATATGATGTTTTAGTTTTTCTGAGAACCTTAATGCAAAAGTTAGAGCAAAAATATTAGTTTAAGTAGACAAAATTATAACTTTATTCTTCCTACAGGATCATCGCAACTCTCTGAGACTTCGAAATGGTTTATGTACCCACCATGCTTATAGTGTTACAGGCATAGCAAGGGTACGTATACACAAAGTAATATTGTAACTGTTACTTTATATTTTAGCTATTGTGTTTACCGATTATTACACTGGTAGATACAAAAGAGTGGACATTTCTAGGTACAGTATTCTGTCATACTATGTTTGACCGAACACTCATTGGGTGACCTATTATGCCATACACATGAAATAAAGTATTTCACTCAACACTAATATTGAAAATTTCAGGGATATTAGAGTTTTTGAAATTAACCACCTGTAACTAATTTAGACTAGTTTCAGAGAAATCTAGTGCTCTTCAGTAACCCTGAACAAGAACAAAATAAGTCCAAGCTGCTTGTATAGGTGACTTATGATTCCTGTCCATGGAGTTTGGAGTGTCCTGTAACTCATTACATATAGTGTAGATATCAAGTTTCTTTCTCATCGAAATTCGTAATTTTGGAGTTGATAGAAAGAAAATAAAAACTTATACAATTTGGCTGCTTATGAATTCAGAATGATCAATTAGTTGCATAAAAGTAAATAAAACTAGAGTAAAGAACATCCCAAACATCGTGACGTATGAATTTGTTCCTAAAATCAACAGCCTGGTGTACAATTTGTTCGATTATCGAAATGACGTGCTTATGCACAATATATTCGTGAAATAGCTAAACTTACCTAATAAAACATCAAAAGTAATTTCTTCTGTAAAGTTGTAAGTTAAAACCAATTTTTTTAATAAAGAAAGTGCCACATTTATCGATGTATGTTGTCCCCCGATACAGACTTACAAAGCTAAATCCGGGGTTCGATTTCTCGCGGTGAACACAGCAGATAGCTCAATGTGGCTTTGCTTTAAAAACAAACCATGTATGTTAAGATGAACCTTCATGACTTACAACACAGATCTGGAATGCAAGTATAATTAATTATTGTATACCAGTTTCACTTTAACCCTGAGAGTTAACTACAGGTCATTGAGGATGTTTTAGTTTGTTTGTTTGTTTATTATTTTGTTTTAGCTTCGTGAATACAGGTCTGTTAATGAGAAAGTACAAATAAACTTTTTCATCTGTTGATCTCTAATCTCATTATTTGAATACTTTTCTAGAAACTTAAAATAGACGCTAAAGTAATGATTTAAGCAATGTCTGGTCTAGAAAAAACAATATGAGCTCGTAAATATATAATTGTGGCGCGAGTTACCATAATCGTTTGGTCTTCTTTCTTCTGAATATCTTTTGTTTCTTTTGTCAAAGTGCACTTTGGCTGAATCAATAACTTTAGAATTTCGCTTTGACGGAATAAATCATTTTTCTTATCTCCGTTTCTACTGTTAGACTTACTCTAATATGTTAAACGTTATGCCTATCACTTCGACGGTAGTTACCTTTTCCTTTTGTAAATATACTTTCTTCTGCTATTGTCTGTCTGCTGCTTCCCGTTCGTATCACGCTACTTATATCTTTATCACCTAATCGTCTGTCCGCCTTCTATTCTCGACATCAGTGTATTGCACACGACGTTCAATAGTCTCATCATCAATGAATTATTAACAAAACCTCCTACAATCGTCTGCTTTTAACTTTTATTATAACAAAAACTAAACAATAATAAAATGTTCATACACAAAAAAATCAGTCAATAACATCTAAACTAAATAGTCTTTTATATCATGACAGTCTACATAAGTGAATCACACACAGAATACTAGTGCGATAGTAATAGAGAAGATAGTTCGGCTTGTCAACTGAAATTCTAAAGCAATTGAATAGGTCTAAGTGGACTTTTGACAAGAAGGAGATAACTATATATATGCCCCCAGTGTCACAGCGATATGTCTGTGGACTTACAACGCTAGAATCCGGGTTTCGATATCCGTGGTGGGCAGAGCACAGATAGGCCATTGTATAGTTTTGTGCTTAATTACAAACAAACAAACAAACTATATATATATATAGTATTTATGATACACCTGTAATCTCTATAATGTTGAAAAAAATTATTGTACATACGTTTAATTTGTTTTGAATATATATATATATATTATTTTGAAAACAAGTGAAGTTCGTGCTGTTTATTTATCGTTGTATTTATCGCTAACAAGTCACAGACACCTACTGTAGAAGAATCCTAAGCCCAATAATAACATAGTATATATTTATACTATTATGAAATATAAGTAAAGGCCTTTTATTTTGAAAATTGGCGAAAAAGAATAATATATATTTTTTTAAATTATGACAAGGAAAGAATCCTGAAGGAGATGTACAAAAAATGGCCAGAATTTGCAACGATGGAAAAGAAAGAGATAATGAAGCTTAAAATGTTATCTCATAATCAAACTAAAAACAGGAAGACTTACGAAACAAAAGACTCAAATACATTGTCTAAACGTTCCTAAAAAATGTACTACACATGCACTGTAAAATGAATTTTCAAGGTATCTTTAATCACATAAGAAATGAAAGCATTTTTGAAATATAATAAGACATGCATTCGTGTTTATTAGGTGAGGACTTATAATGGTGACATTCCACTTGTTCGCCTGAGGAACCCTTGGGGTAAAGGGGAATGGAATGGAACGTGGAGTGACAGATCCTGGGAATGGGATAAGCTTCCTGAGAGGGATAAAGAAATGCTTAGCATGCGCATACGCAACGATGGAGAATTTTGGTAAGATATCATAGAAATTATACACATATAAAACAGCTGCCTCAACTATGGTTTTAAGGTTGCCATTTTAATATAGTTCATGTTACATATGATGATATGACATGTTTTTAGGATGAGAAAAATGTTGGTGTTAATCAAAAGCTTTAGAAACAATCTGTATTGTAAGTGAACGTAAGCTTCCAAGACTGTATTCAAGCAAAACAAAAGTAAAAATCCATTAACGCTACCTCAGGAGACTTGTTAGGTAAGTGGTTGAATTGTATCTTTATGGTCCAGTTCCTTCGACCACCTTTAATTTCTGGAGTAAGGCTGGAAACTTGATAAATTTGAAGTTCTTATTTATTGTTTTGTTAACAGTAGGCGAGGGTATATCCAGTTCCATTTGTTTTGTACGTATACTTTACACCATATTCTACACAAGATTGTGTTCTCAGAGTTCAATGCTGTCCTAAACGCTCTGCTTTCAGAGTTTTTCTGCTTCCATAGAAAATAGTGAAGATTCCTTTCTTTCAATTGTGTCCGTTAACTCTACATTGTTTAAAAATCTATACGAATGTTTCCTCGGGATAAGGTGTGATGAATGCTGCTAGCTATAAGTCTATCCATACCGGCCTTGCACTGCTGCATGGTATGGAATTTGCTGTGAAGCAGGTATATAGGTGCTTAACATGTCGTTTGTGGTGCCATATTCATATCTTCAATCAGTGATATAATTTTTGGCAACAGAATGTTTCATACTATTAACCAAAAACATTACTTTGTCAACAAAGTGTTTCCCATCATTAACCAGAAGTCTCATTCTGTTAGTGGACAGGATAGTTGGTGCTCTTAAACGGAAACCTCATTCTATCAAGAAGAAATTTCTTTGTATTACAAGTAGTTATTACAAACAATGATTTATATACAAAAGTTTTACATACTTACAAACAATATAAAGTCTTCTTTCTAGTCTGGAACTTCCTTGATGTCATATCGAGGGTTCACAATGAATGAGTTAATTTCGAGTTGACGTAGGTACAATTCACTTAATAGGGAGCTAGTTAGCTCTATAGTTCTCACTGATCTCACGCCAATTTTTTTCCCACCGATAACGTTAAGTAATGTTTTCGTAAAAGTACTAATGTCCGATGTGAATCCACTGAAGTTA